AGAATTGGTCAAGTGTCTCAAATGCCCCTGAGAATACAAATATGATATAAGTACCTACTGAATTTAGAAACAACGGAAATCCTGAGACCATAGCAAGTACCACGACCTAGAGGGGTGGTTCAAATAAATTACACATAAAAATGTCACAGGACTTGGGGCGCTTGGGTGGCTCAGTCAGTTAAGCCTCTGACTTCAGCTCAGGTCATGATCTCACAGTCCATGAGTTCAAGCTCCGCGTTCGGCTCTGTGCTGACAGCTTGGAGCCTGGAGCCTGCTTTGGATTCTGTGTCTCCCCCTCTCTCTCTGCCCCTCCTCCATTTGTGTTCTGTCTGTCTGTCTGTCTGTCTCTCTCTCAAAAAATAAACATTAAAAAAAAAGTCACAGGATCAAAGAATACAGGTTTTTGGATTGAAAGAACTAACCAAGAGGCCAGCAAGATGAAAGGGGGAAAAGAACCTATATCAAAGTACATCACCATAAACAGAATAAAAAGAGAATCTTAAAAACAATGAAAAAAAAAAAAAAGAATCGCAAAGAATCACTAAACAAAATGGTATGGGGCTTTTAACATCAGCGCTTGAAGATAAAAGGGAATGAATGGAAAAAGTCCTTAAAATTCTAAAAACCCTTATTTTTGAACTAGAATTCTATAACCAAACTATACATCAAGTATGACATTATAATAAAGATATATTCAAACAGCCAACATTTTAAAAAATGTACCTTTCGTGGATCCTTTCTCAGAAGACTTACAGATGATTGTATACAACCAAATCAAGGAGGAAACTCCAATAGGAAAAACAAAACATTTAAGACACTCATGAAGTAGTTTGAGCTCCCAAGACTTCTAGGGAGAAAATTTATAACCTATTATTGAGAGATACTGAAAAAGACCTAGAGAGAAAACATATGCACAGATAGGAAGCCTCAATATCATAGAGATGTTCATTTTTTCAAAATTGATTTCAAAATCATCCCTCAAAAAAAAAAAAAAAAACAAAAAAAAACCCCACAGTAGAATTTTGTGGAACTTAAGCTAATTCTACAATATCCATACAAGCACCAAGAGCCAAGAATATACTAGACACTGTTGATGAAGAACATGAGGAAGCTGTACTCTAGCATAAATTTATTTTAATGCTTTCCTACTTAAGATGGTGAGATATTGGTATGGGAACAGAAACACATCAATGAAGACAATCAAGATCATAGAGACAGATACATTACATAATAGACAGGACCCTGTAGAGCAGTAAGAAGATAGTTTACCCCCAATAATGGGTTGTGGGATAACTAGGTATTCAGATGAGGAAAAAAATGAAATTGGACCCCTACCTCAAACCATTTACAAAAACCTATTCCAGGTGGGTTGTATACCTAACTGTCAAAGGCAAAACTATAAACCTTTTAGAAGATAATACAAGTGGTTATCTTCATGATCTCAGGTTAGGAAATAATTTCTTAAACATAATACAAAAAGTATTAACTGAAAAGAAAAAAATTGACAAATTACACCACACTAAAATCAAGAACTTCCTGTTCATAAAAAGATACCATAAAGAAACTGAAAAGACAAGCCAGAGAATAAGAATGTATCTGCAATAACTATAACCAGCAAATGGTTAAAATCCAGAATATACTACAAATAAACAATAAAAGGATATCCGATAGGAACATGAAAAAACTTGAACACAAAAGAAGAAATCCAAATTACCAATAAACCTATGAAAAGAATTACTTATTAATAGTGAAAGATGAATTAAAACAATAATGAAAAACATAACATTGGATTGTCAAAAATTAAAAATTCTGACAACACCAACTGTAGGCAAAAATACAAAGAAAGAAACTTCTTATACATTCCTAGTGGGAACATAAATTGATGTAGTTTGGTATCACTAGTGAAATTAAAGATATGCTACTCTATAACCCAATTCTACTTCTATTTCTGAGAATAGAAATAAACTACAGGTCTAAGTGATAAAAATGAACAGCACATATGTATTTCACTATTTTTTTAAAAAGGCACTTGCCCATCAGAGCCATAAAAAGAATCACTCATCCAGCACACGGTCAGGAATTCAGCTTCCATTTAATATGTAACTTTATGTCATTTTTTTTCTGTTAAAAGCAACAAAAATTCAAACATAAAAAATTGTGATATTATATAACTTTGTTTATATGTCAATACCACATTAAAAAGCGAAAATAAGCTTAAAATAGTGAAGATTTTTCAGACAAGAAAGTAACTGTTACAGTTATATAGTGCTGAACTGAATGGAAGGAATACAACTATATGATAGAAAAAAATGTTTCAAATAAACTAAATTATATACACAAGATGATTACCTATTTACCATTTAATCTTGGTGACAGTTACTAATTTTTACAAGCAAATGATAGTTTGAATCAATTTTTAAAAGTTTTCTACCACATACTACTGTATGTATGATATAAAGCTTTGATAGCTTATTCCTCCACACAGAGGAAATATATAGATTTAGAATTTCTAGAGATCTTGGAAAACAAAAGTTTTTCGGAAAAAGTTGCACAACAGGCCAGGTAAGTTTAAATTTTAAATTTTCTTTTAAAATAAAATCTCAGAGCTCATTCCTCAGAAGCACAGAATTGTGAAATGAAAAAGTAAAATGCAAAGAACTCACGTTCTTCAAGTGTCACACTAAAATAGTCATCAAGCCCACAAATATTACCTTTGACACAATTTTACAGTGTTCAACTATATAGAGTAAGTTGCTTATTTTTCAGAAAATTTTCAATTGATGTTTCATTATAGGAAGATGTGTTGCATTTTGCAGAAAGTGTCATTAAAGAATTAAATCACTGAGCATTATGAGTATGTCCCCACAATCTGTCTGTGCCCTGGGAAAACAAGAAAATGGTTTAGTACCTTCATAGGCCTCTTTTCCTGTCCCAAACCGTATCTTGCTTCTGAGTTCTAAACATAATAGTAATTCCTACCACTTGCTGAGCCCTTCCCATATGCCTTACATTTAGTCCTTTAATTCTCAACAGACTGAGGAGCAAGTCTTATGAGAATAGTGAGACATGGAACGGTTGGGTAACTTGTCCAAGGTCACAGGCTGCTACTTGAGAGAGCCCAGATACAGTCCAACTCCAAAGCCAGGGTCTTAATACTACACTGTTTCTATTTGATAAAACATTTATACCATGAAAACTGTTCATAATCACCTACCACGTTCTAACTACTGCATTCCAGGTGCCTTGAGGATTTATTTTTGCCTTAGGTAACTGCATACTCACAGTAATGTTAACGAAGTGAAGGAAGCTAAACAAACATTTAGGGATGTCCATGATTCTCCAGCTAAGAAAAGGAAGGTGCAAGACCACAAAGCTGGTTTGTGACAGCCAGCACTACAACCCAATTCCTGACTCCCAAGAGTGATCTTCCCACAGCACTAAAAGCTCTTACATTGTACTCTAAGTATCTTACACTGTGCTGTAAGCTCTTGCTACAGCCCATATTCTACCCTCCACACAAACTCGCACGTTTATTTCGCCAATTTTCCCAGAGTATGATAGCTTCCACAGAACTCACATGCAGGTAACATACATTCTTTCAATTCAACAAATTAATACAGAGAGATGCACTATGAGCTACGGCAACAGATGAACCCAACTGTTTATCACCATCTTGGGCCTGTTCTTATCATTAACTATAATATGTAACAAATGCTACAGCAGCCATGTGACAATGCGTTTTGAAAGCACAGAGAGAGGAGTGGCTATTTCAGCCTGAGTGGAAAATGGGAAGGATTGGGAGCTGTTGAGATGCATGTGAGGCAGGGCAAAGGCAAAAGTATGATGGTGCTTACAAAGGAGAAAAATACTATCATTTCCACCAATGGACATTAAAGTGAGAACCAGCAGTAAACACAGGGCCAGAATTTGGGAGTTCAAATCTAGACTGACTGGGGTGACTTAGAAACATTTCTGAGTTTCAGTGTCCGCATCTGTGAAATGTAGATACCACTGACCTGCCTACCTCACAGGCCTTTGGCGGGGGCCAAATTATGAGAAAGTGCCTTGAAAACTACAAAGTCCTGTGTAAACGTCAGTTATTTATGGCTTCACTTCTAGGCAACCCTGTGGGTCCTTCCTCCTGAACTGTGTCTCATAAAAACCTCACCCTTCAGGATGAAAATATTCCAGTGACATCATTCATATACTGCTTATGAAATAACAGTTAACATTAATGCCTTCACGTTGCAACATCAAAACTCTTTCTATTGAAATATATATATATATATATATTAAAAGATGGGTGTGTACGTATTTTTAAAATTTTTTAAGCGCCGGTAGTGACTTCTACTCCACGCTTGCTGTAATTATGTTTAGAAACCAGTACCAGATGCAGGTTTCCGTCTGGAAAAATTCTGTTCTATCAGAAATTCCATTCCATTTTATAGCATGTTGTCAAGCAACCAACTGAAGACTAGCCTGCAAGGAGCACTTTGCTCTCATCTCATTAGATAGGTTATGTACTTACTAGCGACAGATAAAACCAGATACAAGCCCTGGATCCTAAAGAGGGAACTGCTTCGGCACAAGCATACCTAAACGAACGCAAACAGCTCGTAAACAAACATAAATCCACTGAAAAGCACACTGAGTGTCTGATTTTAAAATACTTGAGGGCTATCGGCAGACCCCTCCTTTAAATTAAAGAACACCTCATTTCCTTTAAAGTTTGACAGAGGAGCCTCTGCAACCCGGCCTCCCTTTAGCAATCTCTCTTTGAGCTACAGGCAGGCCCCATTTTGTTCAACCTTACGCTCCACTGTCTTAGCTAGTCCTTGGATGATAAACCCAAATAAAGTTCTAACGCACCTTGACGAAGTCAGAAAGAAGGGGCAAGAGGCAGGGAAGGGACAAGGGGAGCGAGAACTCCTCGTGCCACTCCGCACCGGTGGCTGTTTTGTCTTACAAGTAAGTGCTACTTCCCGTTTTCTCCTTCTTACCTTGTACACTTTCCCAAAGGCTCCGTCGCCCAGTTCTCCTATAATTTCCCAAAACTCCTCGGGGTTCAGGTCCCTCTTCACATGTTCGTACTGCTTCTTCTTCTTCTCGCTCCCCAACTTGAAGATCTTACGGAAATTGAAGAAGGACATTTTTCCTCCCGGCAGAGTTCCTCGCACTTAAGCACGAAAAGCAACAATAAAAAGCAAAGTTTCTCCTCCCTCCTCGCCGCGCGAGCCCGGCGGGCGGCGGCGGGCGCGGGCTTTCCCGGCTCCCGCCGCTCCGGCCGGGCCGTGCCCGGGGAGGGCGGGGCGCGCTCCTCGGGCTCCGGCCCACGGGCGGGAGGGGGGGGTGTGGG